ATCAAGAGCTTAAACAGGTGGTTGGATTGTAGCCACAGTCAGATAAAAGAGTGATTAATTCATGTATGCATTCTAGTGCTCAGCTCACTTTCTCCCCTCTTATAAAGTCGAGGATCCTCTAGGGAACTAGGGAATGGTGCTGCCCACAGTGGGTGAGTAGTCCCACCTCAATTAAAGTAATTAAAATAATCCCCCACAGAAATGCCCACAGGCCCAACTCCCAGGTGATTCTAAATTCTTCCAAGTTGACAATGAGCACTGTTCATCACAGTGACTGTTCTGCCTCCATAATATACTCATACAATTTCTTAACTTTAATATTTATTGTCATTTTTTTTCTTATTTTCTCTAAAGTATTACTTAATGGTGCTTATAGCATATAAATAATCAAAATCCATTTGAGGACATAGATTTGGAAAGCTTAAAGTTGTAAATTCTTAATGTGTGTTCATAATGAAGTTTATGAGTCAATGCAATGGTAACAGTGATGAACTGACTCAGAAATAAAATATTGTTCAGTCCAGTATTTCCTTATTAATTTTCTTTCTAGTTGATCTATCCATTGTTGAATGTGGGACACTAAAGTCCTCTAATAGTATCATCTTGCTGCTTCCTTCTTCCCTCCTATCCATGAATATTTGCTTTATATATGTATGTGTGCCACTATTGAGTGCATATATTTTCAATTGTTATATATTCTTGATGGAGTGGGTCTTTTAAGTGATGGCCTTCTTTATCCCTTGTGATAGTTTGTTCCTTGAAGTCTGTCTTTTCTTACATAACTGCCTCTGTTCTCTTTTCATCACTGTTTCATGGAATTCTTACAACTATTAAGCTTCAGCCTGTAAGTATCCAATAAAATGGGTCAACCATAGGCAGCATACAGTTTTTTTACAAATCCACTCAAGCACTCTGTGCCTTTAATTGGATTGTTGAATCCGTTTCCATTCAAGGTTCTTGTTGATGGGTGGACGATAGCTTCCTGGTTATTTGTCTTCTAGCTCTTTGTATCTCCTTTGTTCCTTCCTTCTATTGTTTTTCTACTTTTATGACTTGGTGATTTTCTGTGCTGCCAAGTTTTGGTTCCATTTGCTTCCTCTTGAGTATATGCTGTAGGTTTTAGAGATTGTGGTTAAATGGGTAGATTTTAGCTGCTCTTGGCCAACACACAGGCATACATAGTCACTCTGTGAAATGATAGATATGCTTCACTACGGTAACCATTTAATTATATGTATGGACCCCAAGGCATTATGTTGTAAATCTCAAGTATATAAAAGAAAATTTATTTCAAGAAGAATGAGTATTACGAATGGGTTAAGTCCGCTGTACAAAAGAATCATTAAATATAACCATTATCATACTTCCAAATACACCCTCAGGAAACCACCCAAATGATATTTTAAGGATCTGTTGGATTAAGTAGTTATTTTTGCTGATAATTGTTATGTATTTTTTCCCCACATCATTAATCACTACATAATGTGTCTCAAGAAAATAAACAAATCTGGCTGCTAATCCAGCCCCACAGAGGACCACAATCACCTAGCAGGTGATGGTTTGTATTACTTCTTTAATTGTGCTGTAACTAGATCTCTGTTTGGTCTTTAAATATTATATCTTCCTACTATAAGAATGCTTAATATTAACTTCTATTTTCCAGTCCTGTTTCCTGTGATTTAGCAGTGAAATACTTCATAATTCTTGATGTAAAGAACTGAGAAAAATATAAATAGACCAAATAACAACTTTCCTGTTGAGTGTGAGCTTTTCTACTATTTTAGGGCTTTGAGGGAGGATAGTTCGCCTAAGTTGTAAAATGTTCATGGCTGAGACTACTTGTACTCAGCAGGAACTGACCTAAAAACTAGCATCAAATATTCTATAGTCATGAAAATGAATAGATCTTTTATCCTTGAAAGAGTATAAAATTTTTGCAATGTCAAATGATATATTATTATTGGATATTCCATGCATACTCTCACTTGTCCACAATATATGATTTTTTTTCAGATTGTATAAATGTGCATAGTATGCCTTGAAGAAAAACATTAATGGGCTTTGTTGCACCTGGTAAATAATTAATTGGCTTGCAAGATTACTGTCTTCCCAGAAATGCCATAAAAGATTGCTGTGAATTGAATTATATATTAGGTGACATACCTGATAAAGTAAATACATTTTATTTATTGTATTAATGATTAGGCCAATTATTGCATTGTGATTGATTAGGCCAATATACAGTTTATCTATCACATATTCTCCTGGAAATTCTGTTCCATGAAGCAGTAAGGATTGGGTTATGTATTAACAATTCTGATAATAGGAGTAGAATTATCCACGTTTGTTAATTCTGATATATTTCTCTAATATTTTTGGAGAAGTAAGGGGTAAAGTTTGTTATGAATTAGTGTTCTGGCTCCATATTATTCATACTGCATCATAGATTGATCTCTCCATGATTATAAAATGGTAGATGATTTTGGGGTACCTTTGTTTTTCTTTACATACTTAATTATAGCTGTGCCATTAGTCACATAATTTTTATGCCAATTTTTAATTTAATATTATAAGGTAAACATTTTTGTATGTTATCTCAAAAATGATTTTTAAGCCTTTGTTAATGATATTTTAAAATATCTTTATAATTTCTATTGCTTTGGAATATATGATTCTTTTTGCTCTAGAGCCATGATTAATAGCACCACCCTGAGTGTCACTTGTAATAGTTCTTATCTTTTCACTAATCCTTACAAATGAAGCTACTGAGTCAGATGTATAGTTATTACTGCAGTGTACCAGGCCTGAAAGTCAGATGTATAGTTATTATTGCAGTGTACCAGGCCTGAAAGTCAGATGTATAGTTATTATTGCAGTGTACCAGGCCTGAAAGTCAGATGCCTGAGCACTTACAAGTGGGTCAGAGATGATAACATGTAATTTGAGAAAGGGTCATAGATATCAATCAGAAAGAAATATAATCCATATTTTTATCTAAAAGAAATGAGTAACAAGAAAGTACAGAAGCTGTCATAATATTAGTGGTAAAGGAACGGGGGTGGATCAAAACAGCCTTGTTTAAAACATTTTTGTAGCACCAGGGACTATTTTAATTTTGAAATTATTAAACCCTTCCATTTACAAAAGAATACATATAAAATTTAATACAAAATCTATCCATTGGAAGTAGTATTGAGGGAAATTACCATATTGATGTGTTTACTTTTAAGCTTGATGTATATGTATGACTGATGTGTAGTACATAAAATGTAATTGTACTGTATGGTTTGATATTATGATTTTGTTATTTCATGTAATGTAAACACATCTGCATATTATTTTTTAAAATCTATGCTATTTAGAGGATGTCTAATGTTTCATAATTTATTTTTTATTGACCTTTAATCTTATTCCACTTCACTGGACATTATAAATATTACTTCTGTAACATTTTCATAGGTAAATTTAGACCTTCTGATAATGCAAGCAGAGTAAATGCTTATAATTAGAATTGCTAACTTAAAGAGATTGCCACATACAGGTCTCTTAAATTCATCTCTATAATAGGACATGGAGTTACTCTTTCAGAATTCTTTCCCTGGTCTCCCTGGGGTTATCATGAAGCTGTGTCCCTGGAGACTCTATTTAGCTACTTGGTGTCTCATGTTCTTTACTTGGACAAATGTGTAGCTATCAGACACCTGAGTCTGTCATCAGTGTCACCAACTACAAGAGTTTTTGGAGAGTCCAGAAACAAGTGAATAGCTGAAAATTAATTAAGTGCCTATTGTGGTTGGTTTGTGCTGATCGTGTGATGACAGGTGCCCTAAGCACTGTCTTCAGTAATGTACATGTTGCCAGCTTCTGTCCTAGAGTGACTCTTAAGGTTGAGGCTCCAGCTCTGTGGTTTAAGTTTCTCAGCTGCCTGTTTGGGCAAAGAATCTGTTAAATACTCACGCAACCTCTCCATTTCTATGTCTGTTCCTCTTACTTCTCTGGTTACATGCTCCTCTCCCTGATGATGTAACTGTCCTGAGGGGTTGTATAGGATATTTCTTTTCCCCTGTTCTGATTTTTATCTGCACTATGTGAATAGGTATTTGTTCATCTCTGTAGTTAGGATGCAGAAAGAATAAATCATCCGTGGAATGCCTCTAGGAAATCTTTTCCCACTTGAGTATATTCCTCTTATCTTCTCCATTTTAACATTTTATAGAAGAAATAGAACAAAGAAAGCAGATGACTGTACTCTAGAAGCTAGGGGCCCTCAAGGAACTGCCTCAGCAGAAAGGCCTTTAGGGACTGCTGACAGTTGGCATTTCCTTATGTTGTGGAAATAAGCACTTCTTATTGGAATGGAGAATGCTCTTGGGCTATCAGAGTTTGGTGAATAGGTAATTTGTGCAACTCTAAAATTTTAAAAAGTCATCCACATTTGACTGTAGCCTAGTGTTTAGCAAATTTTGTGGATAACAAATGGGTAGTCCTTTCTACTTCACTCAACTCAGTTTCTAGAACTTAGGGATCATGGTTTAGGAACTCTGGGGTTGGACCCTGAGACCCTATCGGGTTTGCCTGCAGGAGAGGGAAAGGCGTATTCGGGGACTAAGACATGACAAATTTTAGTCTGTTTGGAGCACAGTACTCAGTACTCAATATTGAATATTTTCTCCCCAGAAAGAGCAAGAGAAAGAAAAAAAATCTAGGAAGTCATTTTTGCTCTTTCTACTCAGAATGGAAAAAGTTAAGGTTGCAAAAGATAATGAAATTATTTGTTGAAATCAGGTATTTAGTTTCTCTGATGCATTGCATGTTTTAAATCTACTCGAAGTTTCCATCAGGAACTGAAATCAAGGTGATGTTACTCACAACGTGAACGTGTGTGTGCTGTAATGCATACAGAGGGGGTTATGTCCTAATTTATGGAGGGTGTTACCATCTATTAATCCATGTAACAGTAGTGAATATGGTAGAAACTATTGTCTTATCCTGCTTTCTAGGGAAAGGTGATGTTTTTGGGGACATCTTCTGGAAGGAAACTACTCTAGCTCATGCGTGTGCCAATGTCCGGGCCTTGACATACTGTGACCTGCACATCATTAAGCGAGAAGCCTTGCTCAAAGTCCTTGACTTTTATACGGCTTTTGCAAACTCATTCTCAAGGAACCTCACTCTCACTTGCAATCTAAGGAAGCGGGTATGTTGCATCTACTTTCTCTTACTGGTATTTAAAGGGTTAACAGGCTATGCCCTATGGACCTAAGAACAGAGAAGCTTTGATTTTGAAGCCGTATATTCCCATCAGCATAGAGTGATGTAATTTTCTTTCCCTTCATTTATATTTTCTTTATTTTTAAGGTAGAAGACACTCTGATTATATTAATAAATATTTGAACTTCGTCATTTAAGATGCAAAGTGGAAAACAGTCTTGGAGAGAAACAAATGAACTAGAAACTGTACAATAGCATAGTTGGTTCCCAGAGTTTATAACCCTGTTGTAAAAGGAACAACAGTGTCTTCCTCATTATATGGAATTCTTTAATGGTAGTTACGGTTGACTAAACTGGTTACCTATTTTATATTCCCAATGCTCTTCAAACCTTTTTTCTCATTTAATAATCAACTCACTCAGCTTACTCTTCATCGGTTATTTCAAAAAACACTATCTCAAAAATTAATTAGCTACACTGCATACCCTGCAAATAGGTATAGGATTCCTTTACGTTGTAGTGCTGCTGAAAATTTAATCTTCGTTACCATTTTCTTTTTTATTATGAGAGTGACCACAAATTTAATTTGCATAAAGAAATCTCTTCACTCTGATTTATAGGCCATTGGGCATCAGCTAGGACTTTTCTATTCCCAAGAATGAAATACACATTTAGATAACTGCACCTGAGGAATTTCATATTAAATGATTGCCTGTCTATAGTGAAAAATTTTGGAATAATGACCCTTCCTTTCCAAAACCTTTTAAATAAAACTGTTCCTGTAGTTAACTTGAAGGAAAACAAGCCCAATCAAGAGAAAAATTAAGGTCTATATTGTAGCAATGTAGAAATGACACAATTAAATCAATCTAATTCTTACTCAGAATTTTAAGCTAACGGGAGATCAGCAGGAATGAAAATTCTACCAGCTGTATTAAAACATTTGATATGTATTTGAACAATGGTTTTGGGTTATACTTTGTTAACAAACTGTCATTGAACATCTAGAAACTTCAGGACAAGTAAATAGCTATAGAGAACAGAGATGAAACACTAACTCCCTCTGCTCACAAAGCTTTAGGTGTGCATAATGTATGAAACACAAGCAATTAAACCTTAACTCAGTAATGCATGTGGGAGGGGCCCAAACATGAAACGAATAGGAACCACTGTTCCTGCCTTCTCTTAGGGACTCCACAGCACTTTGGCCATGCTCTCCTTTCTGGAGTGACTTCATCCACAGGCAGCTTTTTTTTTTTTTTTTTTTTTTTTTTTTTAAATCAGTTCCTACCTTTAATTGCTCTCTTTGAAACTCCTGTGTTCATACTAAATGTTCGCCATGTGAAAATTGATCCTATTTGGAATTTTGCTAATCTAAAATGCTTATCCATCATCATTACATTTTACAGGACGTATATTTTCACTGTACTTTTCAAAACAGTTTTTACACAAGATCTCATTTTGTATTATCATATTCCCATGAAATAAGATAGGGAATTATTTCTTCCTCTAAACATATGAAGAAACTCAGGACAAGAGGGATTAATATTAAGTAACAAACTGATATATTCACAATATATCAGAAGATCTCAAGGATGGATAGTTCAAATAAACCATGATTAAAAATTACCTTTCTTCAAAATCAGTTCATCACCAGGCTGTTTCCTTTCTGTCTTACATACCGGTAAATGCATGCACACACCTGTGTACACCACACACACATAGGGACATGGATCCCCCAATAGACAAACTAGACAGACATCTGCTTGTTTAATTTTCCTTTTTAATTAAGATCTGTGGACCACATGCCTGCCTGTGCAGGTACTAGTATGCTGGGTTATATCCAGTGGCTTCTTCTAGTATATATTGTATAATTTTTAATTTTTTTTATAATTCCAGCCCTCTGATCTTCATGGATTATTTAATACTTAGAAAATTGTGAGAACAGGATGTATCGTCAGTCTATGTCCCATTATTCTTGTCAAAAATTAAATGTGAAAGAGGACTTTAAGAAATTATCTTCTAGTGATTAGTGATACTGCTATTTTGACAGCCTATTTTATATGCTTAGGCTCAACATATTTCTATGTACTAATCTTATTAAATATCCATTTCCCACAATCAAGGCAAAATAATCTCCATTTCACGTACAAGAAGGTTAAGGTTCTGAGACTGGGACTCAGAGCTGCCAAGTAATTTATGGGCCAAGGACTGGATTCTAATCTCTGATTCTACAAAATATATTTTTAGACCATTTCGTGTTGCTTTAGCCTTTGTGCCAGCAGCCAGGCTTTCCCACAGTCATTCTTCACAGGTACCTACAACTTTTAGCGCCTCATTTGCTCGTTCGCCTCACTTCCCATGGATCTACTAATAAAAGTTGTTCTTATCGATGCTGTTGTAAGCATTATTGCATTGAACAATTATTAATTGTATCACCAAGACTATGTTCTTAATGCGCTGTGGATCCCATAGTGATCATGGTCATTGATTGAGAATAGGCTTCAGGTAAGTGTGGGAGTAGATTTTGAACCCAAGTTCTCAGCCATAGTAGATTGCAGCTCTGGTCACTTGAGTATGTACATGACTCAAAGGAAATGTTTTTGAGTGTATCGGTTTTAGTGGGTGTACTAGAGAAGAACTGGATAATCCTTTGGCTGCCTGCCCTCATCTCCACTAAAGAAAAATAGGATGCCTGCTTTGCAAATGTGGCTCCCTTAACAGAACTTTAATTCTTAAACTTTAATTCTTTTGTTTGTTTAATTCTTAAACAAACAAAAGTTTTCAAGAATTTTATTAACAGAACAGGAATTAGCAAACTTTTTCTATCAAGGACAAAATAATGGAAGTTTTAGGATCAGTTTCCCAACTTCAACTATTCGGCTTTGCCATTGTAATGTAAAAGCACCCATGCCTTCATCAGTCATAATAAAATAGCCAAGAACTTCAGCATATTTTGTACAGTAATCTTATTAAATGCCAACAACACACAAACAAGGAAAAATCATTTCCATTTCACCCATGAGAAGACTGAGGTTCTGAGACTGGGATTCACTGATGTAGACACTTGTTAGATTAAATAACAAGAATTGATTGCTTATAGTTCTGGAGACTTGGAAGCCAGAATAGAGAATTTGGACAGTTGGTTCCCCAGTGAGAGCTCTCTTCAAGGTTAGTATCTTGTCAATGTGTCCTCATGGTACTGCTGGAGCCAGCAAGTCTGTCATTCCCCCTTATAAGGGCACTAATCCCATCATGAGGCTACCACACTGATAACCTCCTCTAAGTTAGTTACCTTCTAATGCTCTCACGTTATGAGTTAAGGATATTAACTTGGGATAGAGGACGAAAACTCAGCCTATAGTAAAAGTCATAGACACTATGCTAGTAAACAAATACTGCGGTATTACCAGACAGGTGACTGCCTATTGGCCTTACCTGTATCAGTTGCTAAAAGCAAAGGACTGCAAGTTAGAAAAGAACAATGGGTATTCAGACAGAAATCCTTCTCTTCCTTTTAATGGAAAGCAAATCTCTTTCACTTGCCACCCAGGGAGCTACTATGAAACAGAAAGCATCATATAAATAAGAGGTGACTATAGAGCCAGGCAAAGAGCATTCAGGAGCAGGCTAGGCTATCCATTATTGTGAAGACTGGTGAGTTCACACCAAAGGTCAAAGGCACCTGCCTCTTACTCAAACTATAGACTGCTGTGTTGAAATCTGGATTCCTTGGTCTTCCTTTCTTTTTGCCCCTAGAGAATCTACAATATAAACTTTTATATGAAATAAAATTAGTTTGGTAATTTATTTGATTGACTTACTAAATTCTGTACTCAAAAAAAAAAAAAACAAAAACAAAAAAACGAAAAAAAAACAAAACAAAAAACAAAAAACAAAAACCCAAACAAAAGGCTAAGTCTGCTTAGTTTAGGCTGAACAGCTGTGACCTAATGGGATAAATTGATGAGCCCATGATTTCATGGTATTGGAAGCCTGAGACTTTTGCTTGCACCCTTTGACGATGAAACTTTGATGATGAAAAGTTTATTGTTATTTTATCTATTACTGAAACTTAGCTTTATCTTCGGTTGTGAGGGTTGGTAATTAAATATAGTGTTATTAGAAATATCAAAATACTCAGAATAAACAATGTAGAAAAAAATGACCATTTCAATAAAAACTAAGAGTTTAGGAGAGCAGTAGAAAAGACTTTAATTGCTGAAACTAAGATTAGTGTCAAAATGCCATTTATAAAACCATGCCTATATTTTCCTGTTAGGATCATTGACAGATATGCTTTTAAAGAATCTGGTAACAAGATAATAGAACACAACATCTTGTGTACCAAAACAGAAGATAAACACTGGGCCAGGCCTGACTAAGCACGAGACCAACCAGAACAGCTAAAATGTAAATACACTTGTGGCCTGCTCTCTCTATTCTAGCTCAACTCTGCCCTATGGAAATAAAAGTGGGGTGCCCCTCAGCTAAGGAAGCATCATCTGAGAGCAAGGGACAGGCTAGAGGCTAGCCTGGCTGCAGCTCCACACCAGTCCTCTTCCCATTATATGGAATTTAAAGTTGTTTTGAACTGGATCCAGAAAACTATTTTAGACATTTAGTCTTTGATATATGAAGGTAGTACACAGTATTAAATCCATGTTTTTCTCCAAGACTGGCATGTTACTGGTTTTGAATCCATGACTGTAAGAACTACAAGTCTTTTTTAGTATGCTTTAATCACAGTACATTCATTGACCACAGAATGCACTGTGTGCTGGGGAGGTGTTTGTGTGTTTGTGGTAGGCAGTGGTGGCCCTGGTATTTCCAATAAAAAGTAGGGTCACATAGGCTAGTTTCATTCAGACCAGCCAAGCAAATACAGTTAAACTCTCCTACTTAAGTTCTGTAATAATCGCAGGAATTGGGTTATGATGGGTGGGCTGATTTAGTCTTTAAGCAGTGACAGACAGCACTTGTTTG